TGCTGGAGAGCCTTTTAAAGAGACAGGGAACCTTTCACACGGACCTGCCCTAGAGTGCATGTTGGGATGGGGGGGGATGGAGAAGACCCCTCATTGGCTAATGGGAAGTGAGAAATACCCCCCCACCCCACTACACTTCAGTCCTGCAATCTCCTTTCCCACTATTTCTACACTGCTCTGTACTGCTCGCAGACGCATTTACAGAGCCACAGTTAGATATTCCCAAATCACGGATAAAGAACCCAAAATCCGCACACTATACGTGGACACACAGCTTCCCCATTACTCCCATCACAGGAATGCTGATACACACATGCACACACATCACCCACAATAACACTGCCACGTGGGCACACACTACATCCACAATGACGTGGACATCCAGGGCTGACATCCCTGAAAACACTGTCACATGAAAATGCAACCACCACGGACGGTAGACACAGCATAGACACAGCCTTGCATACAACAGACACACAAATCGTTCTCTATGGCACACATAATGCACACTATGGCATGAGCACCCAAAGCCTGTTACCCTGTGGGCAACTTTGACAACCACAGATATGTTAAACGCCCTGACACAAGTAGGGGCACCATTAACTACAAGAACTGGGACACACACATATAGACAGGCATGTGCCTGCCCAAGCAAGGACACACCCATAGTCACCCACAGTGACCCAGGCAACGTGACACACATACACACAGAAGGTATAAGGCCTGTTCGGACGCTGACATCAGGTCACAGTAATCTTGACAGATGTATATATAACACAGCTGCACATGCTGATGCACTGTTGCCCATGGTAAAACTGACCCTCCTAGACATCCATTATGAAACTGTCACCCACAAACAGATATGAATGCTTCAATAGTACCTATACCCATAGTCACGTACTGTAACACTTGATAATACACCTGGACAACTGCAATAATACCGACATGCAGATACAATAACATGCACAATAGCGCAGACAGACCTATGGGAAAATGACACAGGGACATATAGAAATCCAGTCACCAGGATGGCCATAAAGCCAACACTTGTTTATTGAGCATCTGTTATGTACTGGGCACCATTCTAGTGCTAAGGATACAAGAGATCAAAATCCCTGCCCTCCTGGAGCTGACATTTTAGTAAAGGGGTGAGGAGACACCATATCATAGAGTCACCCACAGTGACACTGACAGATGCCAGACACCCACGTACTCTGGCTCACACATCGACCTGCAATTACCCACAATTAGCCTGACGCACACCCACAGTCACACTGACATCCATACACAAACAGAAGCCCACAGGAACACCGACATACATGTACAACTGGCATAGAGACAGCCACCCACTACGCACACACCCACCTAGATTTACAGACCCCCACAGACCCCCACAATAGCCTACTTAAGTAGCTTAGACCCCAAGACCACTGCAGCCCTCCAGTAACAAGCCCATAGGTAGCTGCTCCCTGCATTTTACAGAGAGCCCACCCTGACCCAGACAAGGGTTGCGCTGAACCGTGAGTCTCAGTAGAAGTGTCTAAACTTCCCATCAACCGGCTCCACAACCCCTAACCCTAATCCCAAAGAAGCTGGAGCCTTCTTGCCTCTCCCAGCCCTGGCTCCACACCTGGTGGGCTTGGAAAGGAAGTCGGGGCTCCTAGCCCTCTGGCTGCCCCCAGGTCTGGGTGGGACAGACGCAGCCCTTGTCTGAGTATCCTGCACGAAGGGCCCGAGCCTGAACAGACAGAGGAAGCTGGGAGCTGGCAAGGGGAGGGCAGAGCAGGAACCAGAGATGCTACGCAGATATGGGGGAAATGAGGAGCCCCCTGCCCACCAGTCTAGACAGCCTGGGCCATCAATGAGACTCAACTTGGGGACCCCCTGGGTGCACTGCTGCCATAACCCCATAATGGGATCTTTGTCTGCCAAGCCCTACCCCACATCCTCCCTAGGTCTGTGCATACACACACAGGACATATGCACACTGGGACACACACAGGGACACTCATGCAGGAACACATTCATGGACATACATACAGAGACACACACAGGGCTCCAGACACCCCCTGGAATCTCTGAACCTCTGACCTCTTGTCCCCACCCCCTTCTTCAACTTGATGGCAGAGCTGCTTCCATCCATCACCTTCTCACCTCTGACTCTGACCCCCAGACCTGCACCAGCGGCCCTGCCTTCCTGGAGCTCAGGGTGGGGGTGGGCCTGGATTAGTGTGGCTTCTGGAAGGCTCCTCTCACACATTGCTCCCAGCTCCCTGCCCAGACAGACCCTCCCGGCTGGGATGCAGTGGGGGTGGGCTCTCAGGCGCTACGAAGGAGAATGAGGACCAAAATAGCATCGAAGGGCACCTCTGGCTTGCACCAGGGAGGGGTGAGGGGGTGGGAGGAGACAGCTGCACCCACCCTACTGAGCTTCAAAGTCAGATGGAAGTCCAATCGGCCCCCAGAAAGCTTAAGGACACTTGGCCAGAGGAACAGTCAGCCCCTCCCCAAGGGCCCCAAGTCCAGACAGTGAGATACACACAGACCAGAGGCTGCCTCTTGCCAAGGGTCAGCCTCATACGTGGTGGAGGGGACAAGCCGACAGACACAGATCAGGTGTAATGGGCCAGATACCCACAGGCAGACCCAGAGACAGGAGCGCACGCAGGGCGGGAGACCCAGACAAACACAGGCCCGTGAGGAGCACAGTCAGACCCAGACAGGCGGACCTAGACAGACACCGAGGGCAAGGGCGGGAAGCCAGCGCCGACCACTGCAGACAAAGGGAGACAGACCCCGGGAGGCCCCAGACAACCCCTCCTCCAAAAGACAGGGCGGGGCTGCGCACCTCCTCCGGCCCCGCCCCTCGACTCGGATCCCCCGCCCACTTCCCCCAGCCCTGTCTTCCTGAATCCCCAGACCAGACACCCCCTGCTCGTCCTTCCTGTTTTGGGGACACCCCTTGCAGGGACCTCCCTCCTTGGTAGATCAAGGTCAAAGCCCTCAGGGAAGCAAGTGGAGAGGAGATACAGAAGGAGAAAGGGTGTTTTAGGGGTTCTCCAATGTGGCCAGAGTGCCTCGGACCCGATGACCCCGCGTTCTAGCTTCATAGTCACCAAGAACAAAGCTTTTGAGGAACCTCCGAGAGTTGTATACCAAACTCTCAGAGCCTCATCTTCCTCATCGATAAAATAAGTCTCCTAATAATAGGGTGATGAATGTAGCGTTATTACTACTTCCTCTGCTCTCCAAACCCACCCTCCTCCCCGCAGAGTTCTAGGCATTCTCTTCGTTAGGATCACCATCTCCAAAGCCAGAGATCCCGCATTCCCCCTCGGAAAGGCCCAGATACCTGTGGGGGGTAAAGAGGAGGAGCCCTGGCCGCCGCCCACCCACCCCCGCGCCCGAATGGGGCCCAGCTGGCCGAGAAGATGGGCCGCGGGGTAGTATGCCCCAGCCGGGGCTCCCGACAGGGGTGGGGACGTGATTGGACCGCGACCTGGGGTCGAGAGACCGGGCTTTGGGGAAGGAGCTTCACGACGTGGGGAAATTTCACGAGGGCGTCTTGCGAGGGGCTCGGGCTCCGAGGGGGCGGGGTCCGGTTTGCGGACAGGTCCTGTCCGGGCAGACCTTAGGTGGGTTGGGCTCCAAGGGGGTGGCCTTGGTAACTCCGTAGGGACGCAGACCGTAGGGTCTAGGCAAGCAGGCTTTAAAGGAGGGACCTAGGGGGGAGGGCTCTGTGGCCTTGAGCGCCCCTGGAGCCGGCAAAATGTGTGTCAGAAGGGACAGTGCCCAGGAGCAGGCCTTAGGAGAGCTGGGCTCTTTGAAAACCAGCTTAGGGGCGGGTTTTATGGGTGTTGAGTTTGAGGGCGGGCTCCATGGGAGTTTATATGGGTGGGTTTTAGAGGGCGGGTAGTAGGAACTGGTAACATGTGGGTGGGCTTTAAGGGGATGGGTCGGTGGCTTTTGAAAGACCAATCTCCGGGAGCAGCCTCGGGGTGGAGTCTCAGGGCGGGGCTTGGAGCGCTGGGCTGGTTCAAGCCGCCTCTGCTAGGGGAGTTCTGGGGCTCATTCAAATTTAGCATAATTAAGGCCTCTGATCCGCCTTAGGGTTACGCCAGGAGGGTCCTTTAGGGCCCTATATTCCCGAGTGAAATGGGAGGAGACTTGGAAATTTGAAGAACCTTCCTCAGCCTTTCCTCGGCGTCCCTAGACCTAGGTGGGGGCGGCTTCCTCTGAGATTGCGCATGGGCGGGCTCCCAACTCTTCCCGGTCCCTAGAGGGAGGAACTGGGGGCCCGTTTTACCGGGAGGAAATGAGGAGGGGCAGCTTCTTGCTGTAGTCAGAGTCCGAGCAGCAATACGACCTCAACCTATTTCGAGGTCTGAGGGTGAGTGACCTTGCACCCTTCACATCACTGAGGGCCTGAGTTCAGATGCCTTGAAACCCTGAAGGCAGGTTGTGGGTGTCCCTCGGGTCCTCTCACTTCTCCCTTGACCAGTGGGCAAGTGGACTCCCAGTGGGCCTGGTAGGGGCCCCACTGCGAGCCCTGCACGAGCCCTGCATTTGCAAAGTGAAGACACTGAGGACCTCCAGGGCTTGTTGTGATTCATAAAAAATCATCAGGAACAGGGTGAAGCTAACAGAAGATATACATTGTATTAAAATGACTTGTTTATCTCTTGCATCCCGGGGAAACTGGAGCGGCAGGGCAGCCAGACATCTTGGGGCCACTAAGCCGTGCCCTCTGGCCTCAGTCTCTCAAACTGACAAATGGATGTCATCTGCACCTTCCAGGGCCATTCTAAGGGTGATTTGAGTAAATGAATGAAGTAGGGAGCCCACCTCCAGTACTGCTACATCCTTGTAGCAAAAGCTACAAAAATATTTAGTTACTATTACTTAATCTAGTACTTTTCCAGGTTCTGGAGCAGACAGTTGGTACCTACTGTTTGCTGACTTAATGAGTCAATAGGATCCTCCCTCCTCTAGTTTCCTGTCTCCCACCCTCCACTCTGGGACCCCCACCCCCAAGAAGTTGCCAAGGGCTTGGGGGAACATTCAACCTGTCGGTGAGTTTGGGCAGTTCAGGCAAACCATCGACCGTTGAGTGGACCCCGAGGCCTGGAACTGCCATCTACCTTCCAGATCTGGGGGGCTGGTCGGACCTGAGCACATCCCCTCCCTTAAGCCACAGCGAAGGTCACAATCATTGTTGGAAGGTCACAATCAACATTCATTGTTGTCGGTGGGTTGTGAAGATGGAGGCCAGACCCACCGAGGGATGAATGTCACTGTGGCTGGGCTGCACACAGCCTAAGGCGAGTGGGCTAGGGGACAACACCCACCATGGATTCCCCCCTAGAATTGCTCAGCCTGTACCTTGCACTGATCCTGGTCTCTCACCCCTTGGGGAGGTCTGGTGTTTGGGATCCAGGTGGAAGCTGAATTTGGGGCAGAAGTCCTGGAGGGTCGGGGGAGGTGGACAGCTGAAAAACCTTTCTGAAAGTAGGTGGTGAGCCTCGCTCTGGAGGGCTCCATGTTTCTTGAATGAATGGTGTGGGTAGGCAGTGTAACCCCTCTTTTCTGTGTCCAAGTCTTGGACTCAGCTTTCTTACCCTTTCCCTGGTGCCTGCAGACCTGTTACCCTCAAGTACCCACCTTGGTACAGGCTGATTTCTCCACCTGTGTGTCTTGTGCCCCACCTGGTGACTCCTGGGCATATTCTATCCTTCTGAGATTGAGCTGAGGTCTCATTTGAGAGAGGGGGGATAAAGGCACTAGTGAATGCTGGGGGTTCCCCCATTAGCTCAACCTGTACCTCTGCTCTCCCCTACTTCCCCATCTCACCCCTCTTTCCACCCCAGGGCCAGAACAGGCTGCCTCTGCAGCACACACGCAGCCCTGGGGCTCCAACAACTGGATGGGGGCAGTAGGCTTTTGTGTTAAGTCTTTGTGAATAACCCTGCTGGCAGGTGGCTTCATACCTCAATTTGTTCATCCTTTAAGAGGGGGTTCCACTGAGACAATGAGTGTGAAAGTGCCCTGAAGGAGACCAGAGCTGGGCCCTTGTCCCTCCACATGGAGCCTCCACTTCCAGAGACCTCTGGAATATCAGGCTCTTCCCCCGCCCCAAAAGGCCCAGGGGCACCTGGCTCCTCCCCCAGCCCAGGGGAAGGAAGAAAGCAGTTACTAAGTTACAGGTTACAGCAATGCTTGTCTTGGAGGCAGGGCTTCCGTCCCCCCACCTCCTAAAAAAATCCTGTGGGGCTGAGTGGCTGGCCTCCTCCAAGGAGGAGTAGGGGTAGCCCTCCCAATGCCCTCTGGGTGGGATGTGTGGCTCCAAATTGTGGGTGCTCCCTGCAGATTGTGTTCTGTCACGCAAACCCCCTTGCCCTCATTCAGAGATCATGCATCTCCTTGGCAGGTGCATTTACAGGGAGCAGCAGCAAGCCCCCCTGTGACAATAAGGAATCTCCCACAGCCTGTTCCTCCCCCTTCATACCCCCTTGGAGGTATAAGGAGGGAACTGACAGCCCAGACTCCTAGGCTCCAGAGAGGGCAAGGGAGGGGAAGGGAGGGGCAGGGGAGAAGGGAGAAGGGAGAAGGGAGAAGGACGAGCTTGGCGCAGGCAGGGTTTCTTCTCTCTCTGCCCCTCTGCCTGGCACATATTGCCCAGCCATGGGGACATTTGATCTATGGACGGATTACCTGGGTTTGGCACGTCTGGTGGGGGCTCTTCGTGAGGAAGAAGAGCCTGAGACCAGGCTGGACCCCCAGCCAGAACCAGCACCAGGACCAGGACCAGGGGATCAGAGGTCCAGCCCAGAATCCTCACCAGCTCCTGAACGCCTGTGCTCTTTCTGCAAACACAATGGCGAGTCTAGGGCCATCTACCAGTCCCACGTGCTCAAGGACGAGGCGGGCCGGGTTCTGTGCCCCATCCTTCGAGATTACGTGTGCCCCCAGTGTGGTGCCACTCGCGATCGTGCCCACACCCGCCGCTTCTGCCCGCTCACCGGCCAAGGCTACACCTCTGTCTACAGCTATACCACCCGCAACTCCGCTGGCAAGAGGCTGGCTCGGCCAGACAAGGCGAGGACCCAGGACGCAGGCCACCGCAGAGGAGGAGCAGGAGGAGGAGCCAGTGCAGGTGGCTGGGGAAATCTGTGGAGGGGGCCTGCCTCAGTGAAGTGGGATTAACTCCAGTACCTACTTCAAAGGGTTGAGGGGAGAAGCTCTGTGTAGAAACCCTAGAACAGTATTCTAGAAGTGTTGCTCAGTGTAGGTAACTGGGGCTTGAGTTTGGTGTGTGGCGTTAGGCAAAGGACTCTCCCTCTTTGGAGGAAGTGCCAGCCTTTTCCAAGCACAGGTGATGTGGTGGGGAGGCCATGGGGACTAGCATTGGGGTCTGCAGGCAGGTTTGGCAGGGTCTTGGCACTTCTTGGCACTGAGGAGCTGTGTGCCCTAAAAAACTGCTCAGAGTCTCTGAACCCCAGCTTCCTCATTTCCTCACCCATTTGCTAAAGTTTGTGTGCCCATTCTGTGCCAAACACTGGACCATCAGTGGACAAGGTGGATGAGAGAACAGCAGTTAGAACACAGGTGATAGGTGCTGAATGGGACTCTAGAGGAAGCACTTGATCCAGATGAAGAGTATCCAGGAGGGCTTCCTGGAGGAAGTGACTTCTGGAAGCCTAATCCAGTTTGGTTGAGCACTGAAAGTGTGGCCCAGGTATTGGGGCTTGTTCAGGAATTTAGGGATAGAGTGTGTGTACGCGTATGGTGGAGGGGTAGGTGTCAGAGATTTCGGGACAGGCCAAGGGCCGACAGGTTTGAACTTGGGCACTAGGGAGCCACAGAAGGGGCAAGACCAGGCCTGTGTGTTCAGTATGTTAGACCGTAGCTAAGCAGCTGGCCACAGGAATGGATCTGAGTTTGGAGGAGGCTGGTTTTCTAGGCAGAGGGGTCCAAGGCAGGCAGGAGGGAACATCAGGTTGGTGGAAAGCCCATGAGTTTGCTCTGTGGGGAGCAGTCCAGGAGGGCATTTAGGGCTGCAACCTAGGAGAGCTGGAGCTGCCCTGAGGTCAAAACTGGCTCTGCTCACCTGCACAGCCCACCATGTGGGGTCACCCTGATCTTGCTCATAAAATTCGGATTCCAGTTCTGCAGTTCCTGGTGGGGCCTGAGCACCTGCACTTCTAATCAGTTCCCAGTGAGGCCGCCATGCTGCCAGGCCTAGGTTGACACAGGCTTTGAGTAACTTGGGCTTAAATGGCAGTAGTTATCATTATGGATGCAAAAGACCTCAGCTCCTGTGGCGTTTTAAAGGACAAATCCGTTTTAGTGACTTTACCAGGAAGTTAGCCAACAGAGGGGTTGGGTCTGATGGGGTGTTGTCGCTGCCCATTTAGGTGTTCTGGGTTGGTAGTGCCTCCCCCATCAGATGTGTGCTCCTTGAGGGAGGTGACCCAGCGGGAGGACCCTGCCCCCGCAGCTGCAAAGTAAACATTTGTTAGAAGAATGAGAGACTGCCTCCAGGAAAAAGATAGTATCCTTGTGAGGTTCCAGGAGGTTTAACTTGGGAGACTCTGGAAGCTGAGGGGACTTAGAATGATGGTCTCAGAATCTTCCTTCCCCCCTTAATTGTAGGAAAACACTTCCTGGGGTGTAGAGTGAAGGGTGAGAGACCCCTCTCTTGCCAGAGAAGGAACACCTGGGGCTCGCCTCCCTGGTAACAGTCGGTGTCACAAATCCAGGGTCCCCGGAGCCTGCGGCCACGAGGGGGCAGCACAGCCGGCCAGAGTGTCCTGTTCTGGGTCCCACCTGGGGGTGCTCTGGTCTAGGAATGTGACTGGGCTGCTATTCCAGAATCAGCCTCCAGGTGGCGCCAGAGCCCGAGAGCCCTGCAGGTTGAACTGGCACTTTGCGAACGTGGAATCATTCATTACCTATTATTGCTTTTCTCTTCCCCACTCCATTTTAAAATTCAGGTTCCAAAGGTGCCGGGAAGTCGTCTGGACCTTCGCCGTCTTCTTGCTGCCCCTCCACTTCTGCCTAGGAGGCAGGTGCGGGGAAGAGGTGGATGCTGCCTTCTCTTGGGGCTTGGGACCCTGACTCTGTGAACACTAGATTTCGGGGAAGATGCACCCAACGCGGCCCCGCCCCTGGACCTTCTCCAGGCTGGGAGCACAGTCCAAAGAGCCCTGTGAGGAAGGAAGTGGTCCTCAGACACCCCCATCTTCCCTCCCCAGCACTGGACACCCAGTCAGTGCTCAATAAATGCTATGAATGGATCAGCATCAGACGAGGCTGGTCTTGGGACATCGTAACTGGAACATCTCCGGCGGGGTTGGGGCACCTTATTTCTCTCCTGGCTGTGCCAGCCTGCACATGTTACTCTGACCTCCACTTTCCCGACTGCTGTCTGGAGTTTGGTTCATGGGGCTGCAGTGAGCTGAAATGCGGAGGGAGTGACTGCCACAGGGAGACTGTGGGACTCTGAGGGGTCACTTCTGGGCAGGACGCTCTGCTGCTGCATTAGTACATTAGGCCCTTTCTGTGATGTTTGGTGTTCTCAAACTCCCTTCCAGCTACCCCACACATACTGACATACCAAATGGGTGGAATCCCCCACACTGGGGATGGGGCCCTGATTTGAGAGGGGCATCGAGAGACAATTATACCATAATGTCCCAGCGACCTGGGGCCATAGTCACATGCCAGGCCCTTCAGAGCAAGGGAAGGACTTCTAGGGGTTGGGGGCTGTGTCCCGGGGGTGTCAGCCATCCCAGGCCTCTGGCAGGGGCATTGTGGAGACATTTTGGGTCAGCCTGGGCAAGGGCGGGAGGGAATGGCGATTCCTTCCCACCCAGGAATTGTGATCCAGTTCTCCTGGGAAACTGCGCTCTGAGGAATGCCTACCCTGCCAGCCCCGTCTACTGCCATAGCTTGTTTCCCTGGCCTCTAGGGGGCAGCAGGTGGCAAGTGTCCATCTACACTGCTCCCCCAAACCCAGGATGGGCCTCTGCCCAAGCCCACACTCTCCCATGGTTGGGTGGGGGTAGGAGTTGGACTTTGCAGGTCCCCTCTGCCCTTGAACTGGAACCTGAGGCCACCCATGAGGAAAGCCAAGGATGGGAGCCTGTCCTTGAAGACAGGCTGCTGCCTAGGCTTGGCAGGGAGAGGGGATGAGAAAGACACAGAAGGCTCCTTAGCAGCCCCAAGGGTCTTCAAACTGAGTTGCGGAAACAACATCCCAGCCACCACCTGCTGCTGCAAACTGCTAATGGCGTAAGTGAGGGCCACTGGGGCTTGAACCTGGGGAGGTCAAGGAAGGAGAGGTGGTGGGGGACCCCCACCAAACTTGCTCCCCTCTCACATGGGCTCTACTTGGGTGTAAGAAGGCAGTAGGCGAGGTTCCCTGCCATGGCCCTAGCAGTTTGGGTGCTGGGTGTGGGAGCCACAGACAGTGACTAATACAGAGGCGGGTCTGATCCACCTGGTTGTGACCAATTTAATAGAAGCATCGTTTTCTGTGAAATGGGTTTGAAGCCTGGCGGCTTCACAGTGGCTGGGGCTGCCTCTGACACTGCCATGGGGGTTGTGGTCAGGCTTGTTCGGGATAAGGTGTGCAGCACCCGCCCTCAGCACCAAGTTGGCATCAACTGCAACTCCCCAGGACTGCCTCCTCCCAGGCTGAGGCCTCAAAGTAGCTTGTCCCACAGAGGACAGACGGGGCCACTGAGCGCTGAAAGCAAACTCTCTAGGTGGATGTCTGGTGGGCTCACTGCCCCACAGATACTGGTGTGTGTGCCTGACTGGGAACACATAGCCATCCGCTCCCAGAATCTGACACACTCGGGAACTTGCAGGAACCCTCTGGCCTGTGTCCCAGCAGTGGCCCCACTTGCCTTCGCAGGGAGAATGAGAAGTGAAAGGGGAAAGAGGCAGAGAGGTTTGTGGGCGGAACATCAAGGAACCAGAACACTTCAAACTCCAAACAGCAGGTCCTGGGGCCTCACTAGGGAATCATTTATTAATGGCCTTCCCGGAAGAAATAAAATGGAAATCAGAGAAAGACAAATAAACAAGGGAGGTCTTTTCTCTTCCAGAAAAGAAACATTCTGAACTGCCATAACCTTGGCTAAGCCGCCAAAATTTGCAAACCCAGGCTGCCTCCACCTCCCACTGCAGCCTCAGTTTAGGGAGGAGCAGGTTCCCTCCCCCATACAGACGCCGGAGGGAGGCTGTTGACTCCAGTGGGGCCTCCAGGGTTTCCTAGGGGAAGCTGCCTCCCAAATCTGCTGAAGCCCACTAGGACCCATTGGAGCAGCATGGGGGACTGCAGGCTTTCCGGGGTATGCCAAGGCACCATTGCTAGCTGTTTGGCAGCAATCAAGCCCTTCTGTGGGCCAGGGCTCCAAGAAAACACACGCACATCCATGGGAGGGGGAGGCACAGCACAAAGGCTTGCTCAGCATCCCCGCTGGGAAGCACCTACGTATCCCTCCAGGACTGCTCCCCACGAGGGTGAGGCCCGGCCCCTTTTGGTGTGTAGGGTCCACTCGCGGGCTTTGCCTTTCGGTAGCTGAGGCGCTTGAAGGCTTCCAAGTCCCGGTGGGCATTCATGATCATGCGGCTAGGCAGAAAAAGCACTGGCCGTGAGCTACAGCAGGACACGCCTCGCATTCCTGTTTACACGGGCTAACACACTCATGCACACTCATAGGTCACACAGAATCAGCCTGTTACAAAGCAGACTGACCATCTCAGCCCCTCTTCAAAACCTAACAATTCTGCATACGACAGGTCTATGACATGACAGGCTAGGGCCCAGAAGGAAGACAATTTCTGGAAGTCCCTGGCTGAGTGGCCTGGGCTACTGGAGGGGGGCTTCTTTTTGCTGCCCCATTGGTTCTCCCCTCCCTGCTCCTCCCTGGGCCCCATCCCCGCTGCCTGTCCTGTCTGTTCCCTGTAGATGCGAGCCCAGATCTTACTTCAGGTTGGAGAGCTCAACTATGAGGCCTCGCATGGTGTCTGTTGCATCCTCCATCCTGGCGGCTTCACAGGGCTGGATCCCCTCATGGGTACTGGTGGGAGAGGACAAGAGACGTGCCCTCAGCAGACAGCCTGGCCAAACACCATTCTGGGGGACTTTCATTGGGCTTTGAGCTGTCTGCTTTTCCAGATATTAAGCCACCACGGGCAGAGCTCTGATGGCTAACCCAGGGGCCTCAACTGCCAAAAGCACACCCAGAATCCAGCCACTTCTCCCCCACCACAGCTGCTCTCGGCTGGACCGTTGCCAAAGGCTCCCTGGCACCCCAGCTCCTGCCTCTACAGCTTGTCTCCCATGCAGCATGGGTGGAGGTTATGAAAATGGAAACCTGGCCCACTGCACCGTCTGCCAGCACCTCCGGACCCCGTGCCTTCCTGCTTGTCCCCCTCTCTCCCCACTCCAGTCACACTGAATTCCTGGCTTTTCCCCAGAGCACCTCTTAGGGCTCTGGAATGTTCTTTCTAAATGTCTCCTCTTTTTTTGGGGGGAGGGGGGGAGGGTGGTAGCAGGACTTCCTTGATCACTAAATTAAAATTGTAACCCCTTCCCCACTTTTTCCCCTAACACTCTGCTTGTCTCTTTCTCACCCTGCCTGCCCTGCCCAACATACAATGGATCAAAGCTTCGTGTTTTGTCCTGTCCCCTGCCGCCTCCCCAGTGCCCCAGTGCCCAGAGTAGTTCTGGATGGCGTTAACATCTACGGGAGCGGTAGATGTGCCACAGCACCTACCGTATCTAACGTGAGCAGCCTGCGGGTGCTGGCAGAGGGTCGGCATCCTGCCAACAGCTCTCCCTAAAGCCTACCACACCTCGGGCTTGGCAGTACCTCCTGGGCTGTCACTACTGAATCTCTGGTTCTGCTCCATAAGCCTCAGTCATCCAGAGATGGTTGCCTGGCCCAGTTCTTAACCTCACTCAGCTACAGGCCATCAAGCCCAGGCCTTGCCCCTGGAGCTTCCAGATGTCCATGTGGGGTCGTATCAGCCCAGTGAGGCCATCGGAGATTCAGATGTGAATCTCCCTCCTCTTTGCTCACACAACAGTAAGGCCACTTTGACTAAATTGCCTCTAGTTCTTGTACAGGGTGTATGCATGTGTACAAGTGGTACAACAGGTACTAGTGACAGAGCATGTGCAAGGGCAAGGACCAAAAACATGCCGCCTTATATTTCAAGGAGGAAAAGGAGGAGGAAGAAAGAAACCCCACCAAGGACTGCACCCTAGCCCTTCCTCCACACTTGTCAAGCAGAAACAGACACTTGGCTATAAATAATTGATAAGCCACCGCCTCTGCAGAGAGGCCAGTTCAAGTGTGAGGTAACAGAAAGGGATAGTCGCCCAGTGCTTGTCCCTGGTAAGGCTAGGAGAAAGGACAGGAAGATGACAGACTATGAGAGGTTCTGGGGTGAGGGGAGAGGACCCCTCCCACCACACATACATACGCTGCTGGTGGAGGGACAGTGCACCTGGTGGCCTCCAGGAGGGACAGAAAGTAGACTGCTCTGGGGCACAGAGCCAAGTAGGAAGTGAAAAGACAGGACAGGTCAGAGAGCCTACCCCGTGCCAGAACTGGGACCACCCAGGATCGTCTCTGCCAATGGTTCTTAGCCTTGTCAGGGTTTGCTACCCCTCCGAGGAGGTTCAGGGAAAGCCCTGGACTCTCTCTCCAGAAAAAAGCACACACTGCACTCAAACTGCGGAACCGGGGCACCACCCCAGGGCTCCTGGGAGAGACGCTGGTTTGGATGCAGATGGCTGGTCACCAGTTCTCCACTTGTGGGAAGCAGGGGATGAAAGCAGTTTGAAAGATGGAGCTCAGCTCCCTTACTGGAAAGCAAAGCTTAGTGTGAGAGAGCCAGGGCCCCCCTGTCATCTTCATCAGCAAAATGGGAGTGCACAGGGCTCGGGGGAGGGAGAGCGTGGGGGCTCCAGTGCCAGAAAAGCAGTGAAATTCCCTGACCCGGGGACAAAGGGAGGACTCGTGTTGAGGCGAGAGTGTGGGACAGCCTCCCACCCGGCCTACCTCGGATGGGCCTTCGTAAGGGGGTCTCCAACGGCATGTAGGCTGGTGCCAGGCCAGCAAGGGCCTAACCCTCTCCCTGCAGGAAACTAGGAAGAGAAAGCACATGTGTGAACAGTCTAGCTGGGCAAGCCATGCCCAGGGAAGGAAAAGTCATACAGGAAACATCTCACTTTTCCTTGTCAACACCAGGAACACAGGCTAGAATTCTCGCAGAGGAAAAGTGATGCCTAGACCTGGGGGTCGCGGCTCTTGACAGACTCACCTGTGCCTGGGGGTGGCTCTGTCCCTGACAACTAAGGTGTAGCACTGTGTTGGGCTTGGCCCATATTATCCAAAAAGGTACAGGGAAGATCCCTAGTAGTGGTGACTGCAGTAAGGTGGGCATCCTGTGTCGAGGGGCAGAAGCTGGCCAGATAAGCCATGTGTCGTATGTCAGGAAAAGATTTTGAAAATATATTGCAAGGGAAAAATTCATAATTAATAAGGGACAGAGCAAGGTAATTCTGAGAAGCTTGTTTAAAGGTGGTTTAAGTTTTGTGGAAAATGTCAGGCTCAGGCACGGAGGTGATATGTCTCTCTGAAAGACGAAAAGAGGCAGAAGTGGGGCGGCTGCCCAGGGTCTCTTCTAAGGAGACGGAAATCCTGGGGTGGAGGAGGGGCCTGTGCTAGGGATATCCTTCCCGAATGGAACCCCTCTCCTCTGTCAGGAATGGGGGACGGCGTGAAGGGGCGAGCTACACTTGAAAAGAGATCCCTGAATCCAAAGGAACAGACATAAAGAACAGGCTAGAGCCCAGAGGTTCTCATGTGGGGGGCCAACTCTGCCTCCATGAGATACTTCACTGTCTTGGTTGTTAGACTGAGGGAGGGGGTGTTACTGGCATCTGACAGGCGGAGGCTCGGGGATGCTTCTCAATACCCTACAGTGCACAGGAGAGTCGCCACCACAGAGAACAAACAATCCAGCCATAGACACCAGCAGTGCCAGTTGAGATCCCTGCTGTAGACAATACAATGTCTCCCAGCATCTGGCCATTTCACGTAGGTGACTTTGTGACTTTAAACACAATTCAATACTACATTTTCACCTAACTCTCTGCACTGTTTTTGGCCATGAGGAATATTCTCCCTCTCACCAGGGCTATGTAAATGTTTGTCATGACACAGTCCTCATACTGAATGTGCCAGGGCCATTGCTGTAGGCCCCTGAGAGGGACCTGGAAATCAGCTTTTTAAATGATGCTCCTTGAGCAGTGTACAGAGGATCCACCAGCCCTGGGGTGTCACATCCTGAGGAAGCTGTTATGAGAAGAAAAGACTAAACTTTCCTGTGAGGGGACCTGGGTTTAAAACTGGCCTTCCCTGCTATGTAACCTCTGAGAGTCTCCAAGTGGCCTCCTCCGAAGTGGTGCTGATGGCTGTGCCTCGTGAGGGTTGAGGGCTCAGTGCTGGGAGGCTGCACAGCTGCTCTCCCTCTGTCTGCACTCTGCTCTCAAGTGCCCCCGCTCACATGGCTTTCCTGCCAAGTGCCATCCAGAACCTTCCCATGGGAACCTGCTCGTGCCTGGGTTGCCCCAACTTGTCCGGGAACGCCCAGTGTCGAAACAAAATGTGCCTGGGCACTGGCCGCCTTGTCAAGACAGTGCCTATTCCCCTGGAGGGCCTGCCAGGTCTGACTACCCGGCTGTCCGCCCACGTTCCCCATACTGCTGATTCCTCGGTGTTTTCCAAGTGCACAGTCACTGGCAGCCTGTCTGGTAACCTGTCCAGAAAGGCTTGTTTCTTTGACTGCTGGATGCCACCAAATGTTCCAACTGCTTCCCCAGCCTTCTCATTTAGTCACTGCCCAAGAGGCCAGAGACTCGGGGTAACTTAAAAGGCATTTTTTTTCCTGAGTGAAGGGTTTGCATTTTTCAAGAAACAAGGCTCCAATTCTAAAATTTCAGCTGTTTCCAGCACCTGAACGCCTACCTATCCAAAAGCTTGTGTTCAAACTCTAAGACTGAACTGCACTGTGACCTACTTCCCATGATCTCGCTTGTCTGGTGATCATGAAATGGGTGGCACAAGGAGCCAGGGCCCACGCACGGCAGGGAGAGCCAGGCGAACATTGTGGAGGGCCAAAATCACCCCTGGCCATCCCCGGGGAAGGTACTGCAGTGGAGACCCATATTTGCACAACCCAACCATGCTCTCCTCCACACTTGGAACAGCTGGCTTTCTTAAACTGGGCACCAGATGAAAGCCTGTGCTTGTGTTTTGGGGCTGTGTCGCATGAAGACTCTTTAAGTGTTGAAATGATAGGGTACAGAATGCTCACTCTGGGAAAGGCAAGCAGGAACGGTGCTACTGAAAACCTCACGGGGGCAGGGACTATACCGGATATGTTCGTGCCTGGCTCAGAGCAGGCTCTTGATAAGCATATACTGAGTGAATTTAAAAAAAAAATACATTTCAGCAGGGATGGCTGAAGGAACAGAGGCCTACGTCTATCAAAGGAGCTGGGCTCCCCATTCCAGGACGGGGTGGCTGAGACACAGCTGCAGAATCAGGCCAACCTGGGCGCAGACCCAGCCTTCTCCCCTTCCATCTGTGTCACCTCTGGCAGGTGCCTGACAAACCCAGTGTGTGGAAAAAGAACCAATTGCCTCCCTCCCAGGGCACCAACACTTAGCCCAGGCTCAGGTGTGCCACCAGCCAGGGACCTGAGCTTTCCCCTAGAAGCAGGGCTGAAGCTAGGCTGCCACCTGCCTTGACAGGTGAATGCCATGGCCAGCAGAGTCTTGTCAGGCAGCTTTCCCACTGCCTGTTGGGTGGGCAGATCCCTGATCCCTGAAGTAAGCAAAGTCCCTACAAATTACAGTAGAAAAAGAAAATTCCATGCACATGTTTGGGACAGGCCCCTCATGTAAAGGCAGGTCTGTCCTTTCTGGAAAACCATGGACTCCACACACACTGAAGCTGCAACTCAGACCCCTAGACTCTGCTGTATAAACAGACCGCCACCCACCCCATCTTCCCTCAACTGGGCAATTTGGGAGAGGGCTTGTGGCTACTGGCACCTGCCCTGGAATTGTCTGGCTGTAACTTGGGGAAGCTCTTACCTGTTCAGGTGGGTCTTCAAAGTCAGAAGCTTCCAGGGCATCCTGAATCTGGCTGTCTGGCAGGAAGTCAAGTTCCATGGCTGGAGACTCCCCTAACAAAGCCTGGTCTGCAGAGTCAGGAGGGTGCTTGGGTTGGCCTGCCAGGCCTTTGAGAGCATCTGGGTTGCCCTGGTGAACCCTGGTGTCCAGGGGAGGGCCATCCACTGCTTCTCTGTGCACCAGCGGAGCAGAGGCTCCAAGGGACAGACTAAGCTCCCTGATGTCTTGTTCATAGCTCTGGCTACCTAACTTGGTTGCCTTTTCACCCAAGGGCTGCAACAGCAAAGGCAGTGCACAGAAACCTTCTTGATCCGAGCCTGGCACCCATGTCTGATCAACACCTGAGCCCATCTCTGAGGCTACGGGGATGGAATCTCCAACATCTACAATGGGCTCTTGGATCCCATGAGCCAAAGCCAGGAAGGCTGCAGGGCCCCCTGGGACATTGCCAGGGGGCTTAGCTTCTTGCCCTGCCTCCCCTCTGCCTCCTGCAGTCTCCTTACAGAGAGGCATACCTCTGGGCAGGGCCCAGCTGTGGCCTCCATCAGGGGCCTTCCCACCCAGCCCAGCCACCTCCAGAGCCCTCTGTTCTGGCTGAGTGGGGTCTGTGCTCACGTCTGTGATAACAATGCTCCTAAGGGAGGAGAATCTTGGGCTGCTACAGCTCCCTTGTGCTTCCCTGCCAGCCTTGCTGAGTGTCTGCATGAAGTCTGAAAGGCCCTGGACCACAGATCCAGGCTCTGGGCCCCCAGGGATCAAGCCAAGGATGCTGTCTCCTTCCTCCTGGTTGGCCCCCGCTCCTCCTTGGGCACCTTCCTCCTGTGAGGATCCTTGGTCTGGCTCCTTCTCCTCGGCTTCACTACTTGGCTGATGCCCTTTTTGGCCGCGATCGCCTGGAACCCCACCCCACTCTGTGCTTCCACCGTCTAGCAAATTGGTCCCTTGCTCCAACAGGTGATCCTGGCTGGCCCTCTCTGAGGCCAAGGGCACCGTCCCCCATTCTGGAGAGGCGTCGTTGGAGACCTCAGGCTGAGAATGCCCCCTGCCAGACACAGGTGTTACAGGGTTTTGGACGCCGTGCTTGGAGTGGGCACCATCTGCCTCCCAGACAGTGAGCCCTGGGGACTCCTCTGGTGACTGGCTTCCTGCGTGCTGGGCACTGGGCTCTGGCAGTATTTCCTGCGGAGAGAGAAAGACTCAGACTGTACTGCTTCTGTACAGTCTCATGCTGCGCAGATGACCGAAGGGATCAGCACAGTCATCCCTCTTATCCGTAGGGGATTTGTTCCAAGACCCCCAGTGGATATTTGAAACTGCAGGCAGTAGTGAAACTTATACGTACCATGTTTTTTTCCTATACATACATACATACATATCTATAACAAAGTTTAATTTTTAAATTAGGCACAGTAAGAGATCAACAATTACTAATATAGGACAATTATAATATACTATAATAAAAGTTATGTGAATGGCTTTGGGACTATTATTAAGTAAAATAAGGGTTACTTGAACACAAGCACTGTGATACTGTGACAGTCCATCTGATAACCAAGACAGCTACTAAGTGACTAAAGGCTGGGGAGTATGTACAGCGTGGAGATGTTAGACAAAGGGATGATTCAAGCCCCAGGAAGGACGGCCTGAGAATTCATCACGCTATTCAGAATGGTGCAAAATTTAAAAACTTCTGAGTTATTTATTTCTGGAATTTTCCACTTAATATTTTCAGACTGCAGTTAACCACAAGTAACTGACACTACGGAGAGCAAAACCGCAGATAAGGAGGGACGACTGTACCAGTACAGGGCAGAGCTTTGTGCCAGGGGCTGGAGGGGGAAATGGAATCCTTCCTTCCGTCAGCTGCTTCTTCCCACCAGCACTGGGCATGCGGAGGTCAAGGATATAAAAATCAAGGGGGCCTATGAATCGCACCAATGTCAATTGCCTGGTGATGGCAATGGATTATAGACATGTAAGATGTGACTGCTGTGGGAAGCTAGGGAAGGGAACACAGAGGCCTCTCTGTGTTTTGTTTTTAAATTGTGGTATAATATATACAAGAAAAGATTTACCATTTTAACCATTTTTAAGTAACTCTATATAGTTTTATTAAGATAAAAACTGAGTGTGGTATGAAGTTTACATTTAAATGAAGTTTTCACAGAAACCTACCACATATACAAAGGTTTTACAATGGAGGTCTACATGCAGGTCTAGATGATATCAAGACCTGATGTATATATTATGATTCAAGACAGCATTTTGAGTATTAGTTCTTAGGATTAAAAAATAATTTTTGTTTTGTGTTTCAAAGTGAACCACAGCCCAAGTATGAAAGTTCAATCTTGAGACCAGGGCTTTTGAAGTGATTTGATGAATTTGTGCTGTCAGTGACTGAACTCTGCCACCAATGGTTTCAGGGAGGCTCTGAAAATTTTCCACTCTAAGAGTATGGGCCCTTCTCTTTATTCTCACACTTCCTATGCCACCCTCTCCCCGACCCAGTACCTCAGCCAGTGGCTTGGATGGAAAAGCTAGTATTTATAACTTCATAATTAGAAAAGAAAGGGGTCTTGTGTTTATTTCAAGAATTAGCATCTCTAAAACAGAATGATCAGCCTTTGTATCTGCTCCAATAAAAGACTTTCCCTCCTGGACCAGTTTCCAACTCCAAAATGGCAGCTGTGTTAACTTACAAACTTAGCCCTTTGCTGGGAATAGTATTAAACTCAGGCAGGGAACACCCTGGCTTATAAGCTTCAAGTACTCACAGCTTTTAAACCTTTTTTCCATTTAGAAAAAAAAAGGGGGCAGTTTGCTTCCAGCATTCATTTAACATCACACATAAGAATGCTATGTCTTCTAGGATTTGACATTCAGCGATTGAAATAGTAAAAACTGTGCCTGTCGGCTTTCTGGTATAAAGGGTGATGCTGCTCAGAGCAGTGACCAAGAGTGGAGAGGGATCGGTGCCATGCTCCTTACTGGTGCATGGTGTCAGGTGGGCTGGAGGAGAGGTGCCCAGAAAAGCAACAAGCCAGGTGGCTGCGGTCGAGCCCCTCACTGAAGCGGTGTACCGGAGGCCCCAGCCAATAACCCTTCCTTCTGTTTAACCATTTTTAAGTGCATGATTCAGTGGTATTAAGTACATTCACATTGTTGTACAACCGTCATCATTATCTATCCCCAGAACTCTTTAATCTTGTGCAACTGAAGCTCTATCTCCATTACATGCTAACTCCCCACCCTGGAGATCTAGCCAGGAGGTTGGGTCTGTCTCTAGTTTGTTCCTTTTTAATTGCTGGGTTTTGTTCATGGTGAGGATAGACCACAGTATGTTCAACCATTTCACCTGTTGAAAGATATTACGGATGTTCCCAACTGGGGGCAATTACAAATACAGCCGCTGGGCACACCCACCACTTACTTTTTTAGGGGTGCATATTGCCAGACATTGTCACCCCCAGAGCTGACGGTGGCAAGGACAAGAAAGCACACTGTAAGACTACACCCAATCCTTACTTGCACAAAAGCTTCTGAGAAGCGAAGGGTTCAGGGACAGAATGTGGGCTGCCTTTCTGAGTCTTACTAACTCGCACACAATGGAGCAAAAGGGCACTGGCCCTGAGTGCTTTGGTGCAAGCACAGCAGTCCTGAGCTGCGAGTTGCCTGCACAGCACCTGCAGTAGGAAGACATCTGTAGTGCGAAACATTAAAAATGTAGATGTGCGGGGTGCAGATCTAGCCATTGCCAAAGAAAACCAAGGCTGGGCCAAGAGGCTGTGCCTCTATTGTTCTCAGCCTGCCAATTTTAGGGCCTTACCGAGCTAAATGCCCCACTCCCGAAGTCCTCTTCCTTTGTAGCTGCTTGTCTCGTCACTGTCTTCCTGAGTTTTGCAAACTGGGGGACAAACCTTCCAACTGAGTTCTGTGAACCAGATACAAGAACAAAGCAGCAATAAAGGGAGGAATGAGGTTTCAGAAAGGAACCAAATAAAATACCAAAACCAATTTCTTTCTTGTAGTTTCAAACATGGCCTTTGCCCTCCAACCCCAGGGCACACTCTCACCAGCCGTTGGCCTTGAGGATGAAGAGGCAGGCACTCCAGCTGAAGGGGGGCAACATCCTGTGCACATAAGCAAGGCTACCAAGCAGGCTCACCTGGGAAGGTGGGAAGGGAACTGGCTCGTTTTCTGGTTGCCTGAGGAGCCTAGAGGGGCCTCCTGCTTCCTTGTTCGGGGAGCTGGGTGGAGAAAGACAAATAGGAAGTTCTGGAGAACCTCTAGGGCTGTCAATGTGCATAGCAGGCAGAGAATGCAGTCCAAAGGCAAGGTGGTACCCAGAATCTCCTAGAAAAGAGGTCTTGGAGCACCTGATGAGAGAGGGTGGAATGGGGAGGGGAGCAGCGTCCTGAGGAACATTTGACTCCAAGAAGGGTTCAGGGTCCCACATCAAGAATTCAAGCTGCTTGCTCCGGTAGCACTTTACCCTTATAATCCCAGGAACTGGCTTCTGAAGCAAGAACAGGAATTTTCATTTGGATTGACACTCCAGCCCCCAACTCCACAAATTCTAAGTTAGGGAAGTTGCAGATATGAGAAACACAGTGTCTTAAAAAGGGTATATTCATAATTGCCAAAATGTGGAAGCAACTGAGTTGGCCTTCAGTGGGTAAATGGATAAACAAGCAGTACAATGGACTACTACTCAGTCTTAAAAAGAAATGAGCTACCAAGCCATGAAAAGACATAGAGGAAACTTAAACGCATATTACTAAGAAAAATAAGTCAATCTGAAAAAGCCACGTACTGTATGATTCCAACTACATGATATTCTGGAAAAGGCAAACTGCGGAGACAGTAAAAAGATCAGCGGTTGCCAGGGTCGGGAGAGAGATGGATAAGTTTGGATTTTTAGGGCAGTGAAAATACTCTGTATGAGACTATAGTAGTGGATATATGTCATTATACATTTGTCTAAAGCCATAGGATGTACACCAAGAATGAACTCTAAGGTAAACTACGGGACTTTGAGTGATTACAGTGTGGCAACGTAGGTGAGTGATGATGATAACGGGGAGGCCATGCACATGTGAGGGCAAGAAGTATATGGGAAATTTCTATGTCTTCCTCTCGATTTTATTACAAACCTAAAACTGCTCTAAAAAAATAAACTCTTTAAAAAAAACATGAGTGAGGCTAAGGTTATAAAAGATGTGGCTATGTATACTGAAAAAAAAAAAAAATCTGGAACCAAAATTTCAATTAGCAATAATCATGCCTCAGATAAACCTCATTGGCTATGATACTGCTACTGCACAATAGTGAAACCAAAATTTCATATGATCTCAACTTTCATATGGGGAGGTTATAGAGAAAGAATAAGTCTAGATGCCTCCAGCAAGAGTCTGTTAGAAAATTTTAATTGGGATGGGTTGTTTAGGCGGCTTCTGGGTATTGGCAAGATTTCATTTCTCAACATAAACGTGTTAAGCTTGTTTGCTTTATGTGTTTTTTTGTTATATTTTGTGCACCTGGTATTTCCTAATAAAACATTTTAAAAACAACAAAAAATGATGGGAACCTGCTTCCGTGGGTTCTGACTATTCTCATGGATGCAGATGGCAGGGTAGGTAGTAGCTGTGACCCCATCAGCCCCGTTGACCTCTCCAGGAGTGAGGAACACTGTGATATTGTCATGTCTGGAGAAACAGCTTAGGCGTGACATGTGGCTCTTCTCTTCCTATCAGAGTAGGGCTGCCTTTAGTCCTAAGACTAATAACCTGAGATCACCCGCTCCCCAGAAAACAGTAGTCAGTCAGACCACATGCCTTCTCTGAAGATTTTGAGTAACAGGAACCTTCCTTCTCCTAACTCACACTAACCCTTTCTACTTTGCTATAGTTACATGTGGTTTAACCCCATGGAAAGACTAAATTGTTTTCCAGACCCTCTTTCTTTTTCCCCATTGTGCTTAATTACATATTTCCAGAAAAAAAAAAAAAAGGGAACTGAGAAACCATAGTGGTTAGGAACACAGGAGTAAGACACACCAGAGCCCCAGCCTGTCTTGTTACCAGATCAGTGGTCTTAGGCAAGTCATTTGATCTCTCAAAACCTTAGAATCCTCACCTGACAGATGGGGATAAAAACCTATTTCACAGTGCCATGAGGGTTGAAAGAGCTGATATATGCAGGGCATTTATTATTAACACTCTGTCTACCACATAATGATTCTCTTTTACCGATTATTATTTAGCAGACCTACTCCTTTGGTACCTTCTTGATCAAGAAGAAATGTGGGGTCTATAGCCATCCTACCCTGAACAAGCCTGATCCCGTCTGATCTTGGAAGCTAAGCAGGGTCAGGCCTGGTTAGTACTTAGATGGGCGACCACTTAGGAAGATGAGGTGCTGTAGGCATAAAAAATCAAAAATATAAAGGATTGTAAGCTGACAAGGTCCTTACAATCTGTGAGGTCAACCAAGGGTTGCCTAGCCAAAAAAAAAAAAAAAAAAGAAGAAGAAAGAATGTGGGATAAATATGGATCTGACCAGCAGACAGGATGAGCTGCATTCTATAACTAAGTGACCTCGAAAAATTCAAGATTTTCCTTGCCCAGGGTTAAAACATTGACCTTTCTCAATAAAGAGGACAGTCCGGGAGGAAAGCTTCAAGAAGCAGAATCCAAGAACCCTGAGTCCCTAGGAGGGAGGCCTGGCATTGGGTTATGTTGGTACCCTCCCCTCTGCATCCTGTTCACTAAGCAGGTGTGCTGTGCCCACTGTCATTGGGGAGGTCTGCTGAACTGTTCTGAGCCACTTACCTGGAAGCCACCTGTCCTGGTTCCTCCCCACTCTGCTCTGCTGAGGGAGCAGGTCCTGCCCTGCCTTCTGACTCCTCAGGGTGACACGAAGGGTCCAACTCGTAACTCTGGGAAGCCCTGTCAGAGTCTCTGAGCCTTGGGTGCTTTGGGGGTTTCAGAGGATGAATTCCTTCTCCTCCTGGTTTAAAGATAAAGGAAGACAAAAGGAATGGAGATGCCAGGAGCATGTACTGCCATGGATGACAACCAAACTTGGAAGGGCCACAGTTGCAATGTGAGCAGGTTTGTTCCAAGGGCAGGAAACCCCTACTCTGACAGTTGCCTGGAGACCGAGATGAGATGGAACCTCGTCCAGGTGGGACCTAGGAGCTTATGTGGCTGTAGGATTCAAAGGCTTTTTACCTATGGCCTGGTCATGACTGCAGCTGAATCCTGAGCTGGCCAAGGCTGGCTCCAACTACATGAAACAACCTGGCCCAGCCTACTGTCTCTCTGGTGAGAGGTGTGTGCTGGCTCCTTCGGGTCTCAGCTCAAACATCCCTGCAGAGAGGCTACTCTCTGACTTCTCTATAGAGTATCTCCTTTCAGGCCCATGCTGTTTCATTCACTTCATAGCTTTTCTGCAAGTACTGATGTACTGGGTCATTTCTGTCTCCCTCACTACAATCTGCTCCATGCCAGGAGGGACTTCATCTATCACACTCTCTGCTGGGGCTCAAGTGTCTAGAAGAGCATATAGTACTCTGTCAGTGCACCATAAATATTTGGTAGCTGACTGAATAAACACATTGAAAATGCAGATCACTTCCCGGGAAACACAGATAAAACTAAATTATGTACCATCTAGTTTTCCATGATGCCTGAAGACTACTTATCCTGGGAAAACTGGGACCCAGTGTCATTAAGTGCTAAAGAAGAGATGTTTTAGCTGCCACTCGGTCTCTTATATCTCTGTGATACCTTCCCCATCACTGAGAGCAACTGAGAGCCTAAAAGTGCTTATTAACATGTCTGTCTGTTGAATAAAGGAAGCTCCTTTACATAGAAATCGCCTATAGTGGCTAGTTTGTGAGACCTCCCCAAATCTAGCCCCAAGCGAATCATTTATTCAATGAACAAATAATAACAGTTAGCTTTATCGAGTTCCATTCCAGACACTCTCCTAAGAACTTGGGTGCGTTATGATAAAACTTTGAGGTAGGGTCCTACAGTTATGTCTGTCTTACAGATGAAAAAGCTGAAGCACACGAAAGCCAGAGACCAGAATGGGATCCAAGCATCCAACTCCAGAGTCTGCACACTGAAGTGTACTTCAGCATTTACTGAGCGCCTACCATGTACCTACCGTGCTTTTGACCAGGTCAGACAGTGAGGACAAAAGGACAAACCAGACCCAGGCCTGATCTTCCTGGAGTTGTCACAAAGCCCCTTTCCAACTTCATCTCCTTACATACCTTGAAATAAACCCACGGAATAACCCACTCCCTCCTTATACCAACTACTAGTGTCCTCTTCGGCATTCATTCAGCTGTTTGCACTCCATTAGACCACAGCAACTTCCCTGTAATGTCTTCTAATTCTGTCAGTTATGGTTCATGTGTGCCCGTTCAGAACTTTAACCCACTGCTGTGTATTTGATTAGCTCTCTCTGTGAGGAGCATTTTTCTTTTTCCCTTGATGTCGAGGGCAGGAATTAAGTCTGCTGTGCCCTTTGATCTCATCCTCCCCCTGCCTTCCCCGTCATGTGCTCACCCCAGTGCTGTACCTAGAGCATGGCTCTAATGAGTTTCTTACCCAAACACATTCCCACCCTGCGGTCTCCCAGAAAAGACAAAATATAGCAGCTTCGTTTATTTGGTTTCTTAAGATGCTCAAATACCAGCTTGCTTTGCTAAACCAATGGACATTCGTACCAAATAAAAAGCAAAAATACCAACAGAAGTAAAGAGCCTCCCACTTCCTTCCTGTGATCTGTCCCCACAGGATTAATTTAAGAAAAACTAAGGCAGAACTTCATGTTCAACACCAAAGGCCAAAGATGTCAGAGGGAAAGGGCTTCTTTCACCACCTGCCAGAATTGTCTTCTCTCTCCATCCCATCCAGTACACACAGAAACAGCTGTCCCAGGCCAGCCCAGGGATACACTGAGCTGGGGAGTCCACTGCCAAGAGAGGCCCCAAATGACTTGCCGTGGGTGGGCCTGGCTGTCCCCAGCTTCCCCCTCCAAGGTCACATAAATTCCTGTGTCTCCAAGCAGCCTGTTGCTCATCTCTGCACAAAATATTTCAATCTGTTGATAATTTTTTTGTCCCACATTTTGGTAAAAAAATGAGTGCTACTCCCTAGTTCATTAAGCACAAAGTAAAGAAATCATTTCTAAACTTTTAAGAAATTTGAGTTACATTAGACAATGGACAGGAAAATGGAGCTATACTATGTAATACTGAGTTCTTTTCACCTGAGGAAATTCTCTAAGCATATGGTCAAATAGACACAGTCTCAGTATAGCATGAAGTCAAAGATAGAGGTTGCATATCAATACATGTGATGATTTGAATTTCCAATAAAAAGCACCATATTTGCATATACACAGAAAAAGTTTGGAAAAAGTAGTGTACTCAGGTTCGTTTCTTGTTTTTTTATGCTGTACCATTAGATTGATCCTTGTCTTATGGTTGCACTAGACGTTAACATTAGGGGAAGGTGAGAGAAAGGCACACAGAACTCTGCACTGTTTTTGCAACTTTTCTGTAAGCCCCAAATTATTTCAAAATGAAAAGCTTTTTTAAAAAAAAGTCTGGAAGGATAATCATAACAACAGCATATATTTGTGTACTACCTAGGGTCTCTTCTTGGTGCTTTACAAATACTAATCCACATGTGAGCTCTAGGGCAGTTCTCAACCTAGGCACTATTGACATTTGGGGCACTACTGATTGGGATGGGATCATTCTGTCCTGTGAAAACCAAAAATGTCTCTAGATATTGCCAACTATCCTCTGGAGTGCAAATTCCTCCCCCATCCAGGTTGAAAATCACTGTTCTAAAAAATAAAAAGTGTTCTTATTATCCTTTATTTACAGAAGAGGTGAAGTGAGGCACAGAGTAAGTCATCTTTCTTCACACAGTGAGCAGCAGAGCTGGGAAGAACCTAGGTTTTTGGTTCAGGAGTGAAGCACTTACTTAGCCACATACTAGATGGCCTTGCAGCACCTCAAGCTCTATTCGGGGGTGGTCTCTGAGAGTGGGCCTGTAGAGGCTGGCCCCCTGCCCTGAAGCCTGGGGACCTCTCTTTGGCTGTGGGAGCCCACCAGAGGCTGGAGGAAGCTCCACAAAGCTTCCACTTTCTACTGTACGTACTCCTCCATAATTTACAGTTTTCTTACAGGTGTTAAATCATTTTTTAAAGGAGCCTGGTGTGGTCATGTTAGCATTTCTGCAGTAAGCCCACATTCTTAAGAGCAGAAGCAGCAATAAAGAGACCAAAGTTCAAATACCTGAGGTCCGAAGCTTCTTCCTCTTACTCATTTTATCCCTCCCTTGAGAAATCTGAAAACAATGAGCAGAATCCAATCATTACAAGCAGTCCCTGTCCCTAGGTACAGACCCAGTGACATTAGATGAGGGCAGAACCCCCCTCCACCCCCACCTTGGCGCATCTGGCTGCCCTGAAGGGTTATTTGGACCCCAAGGGGACACAAGCTGGGAGTCATAGTGACCTTGGACCATGGCTAGGTAAGAACGCGAACCTCCTCTATGCTACAGAGAGAAGAAAGGTAATTGTCCATCTTCTGCCCAGGATGTGAGAATGCATAGGCGGGGATGGGGCAGCAGTGTCTTCCGTAGGAAGCCTTGGGGGCTCTTCAAGGAGCTAAACGCCTTTGGGGGATGCCAGGGACCTTGAAGGACAGGAGTCACCACAGGGCAATTCCTCCCAGCCTTGGTGGCGGACAAGCCCAAACCGACCTGGGCCAGAGAAGTTGTTGAGGTTCCTCTGTCCTTATCAGGAACTAGGTAAGTCTGCCTGGAGCTGTTGGGAGACAATTCAGTTAAATTATCTGCGTGAAATATTTTGGAGAAAATGAAAGGCAAGTTGGCCCCTCACAGAGGCTGGGCAGCTCCGGGGTCTAGAGCTGAAGGGCCAGGAGGCCTGAGGCCTGAATGCTGTGGACCGCCTTCGAGTGACCAGGCCCAAACTAACCCTACCCCCGCCACAGAAACGTGAGGACTGCCCAGACTTGGAGAGCCAGATGAGATCGTAGCCCGTAGGTGGCCGCGGAACGCAGTGAAGCGTGGCCCGCCGCCGCCCCTCACACTTGGCGCGCGCTCCACCTTTCCCGCGCACTGCAAGACTCAGCTGCGCGCATGCGCAACGCCAGCCTTGCTCCCTCACACCGCGCACGCTCCGCCTCTTTCCCGCACCACCTGCAGAACCGCCCACCGCACCGCAACGCGCACGCACGCTCGCGCGCTGCCTGCCGGGAGTTGTAGTTTCAGGGCTGCGGGCTGGGCAAGTCCAGTGGCCGCGTTCCGGTGCCGCGGCGCCTGAACGACGAGGCGGAAGTAGGACGGACACTCGGGAGACCCAGGACGCGGGATTGGCGGTCGCGGGGCGCCGGCGAGGGGCTCAGGAAAGGCGCGTGCGCAGCTATAGGGCCCGGGGGAAGAGGCAGGGCAAGGCGAGGCGAAGGGGCCGGTGGTCCGGGCATCTTGCCTGGAAAATGCACAAGAGTAAGGGACCCCCTGGACCCCCGGGCCGAGGCGCCGCCGCCGCCCGCCAGGTGAGTCTGTCTTTACCACTACACC